CTTGTTTTTCCTGTGCCAGGTCTCAGATGAAACACAATCCTGAATGGGCGTGGTCATCTAGCTTTTATATCCAAATCTAGTTTTGCATTTGTTACTCAAACACTTCAAGTAACAAAAGGGGGGCAGGGGAGAGGGGTGGGGAGTGGACGCTTACTTCTTCAGTTCTTTGCTCAGCTAGGGGATAGCTGACCTGGGAAGGCAGTGCAAGCCCCAGAGACTGTTGTAGGTTGCTTTTTCTTCCTCCTGGGCACCTATTTGTGGAAAGGTTTTACCTTAGTCATTATGTAAATATAATGTGTAGAAAAACCTAGTCAACACATTTTGTATTTTAGCTTTCTTAATATTTAAGTATTATCTTAAAACAACATTAAATTTCTATTAGTTCCTGCTTGTTTATCTTATTTATTATAGAAAACCGTGATGGCTTTACATAGAGAATTAGGAGTTTGTCTAAGGATTCACCAGTTGGCTGTCCCAAGAAACCTCACAAGGAGCATTCATTACCAAGGAGAATGGACTTTGATCAAAGGTCTATCAGCCTCATCCAGGAACTAGATTTTTTTTAAGGGAAGCAGATCTATTTCTGAAAGTCAGATTTATAATAAAGCTAAAAAAAAAACTGAGCTGTAAACCTGTAATACCAGCAGACTTTCAATAAGAGATAGACTCTTACAACTGAATTGTAGAAAAACAAATAATTAAAAATGGGCAAAGGACCTGAACAGACATTTCTCCAAAGAAAACATAAAAAATGGCCAATAGGTATAGATATGAAGAGGAGTTCAGCATCATTAATTTTAAGAATAATGTAAATTAAAACCACTGTGAGCTATCACCTCACATCTATAAGAATGACTATTAACAAGACATGAGATAAATGTTGATGAGATTGTGGAGAAAAGAGAACCCTAGTACACTGTTGGTGGGCATGTAGATTGGTGCGGCCGTTATGAAAAACAGTATGGAGGCTCCTAAAGAAATTAAAAATAGAACTGTTACCTGACCCTCTTCCAGTAGGTATGTACCCAAACAAGATGAAATCAGCGGCCGGGTGCGGTGGCTCATGCCTGTAATCCCAGCGCTTTGGGGTGGGTGAATCACCTGAGATCAAGAGATCGAGACCAACTTGACCAACATGGTGAAGCCCTGTCTCTACTAAAAATACAAAAATTAGCCGGGCATGGTGACGGGCACCTGTAATCCCAGCTACTCAGAAGGCTGAGGCAGGAGAATCACTTGAACTCGGGAGGTGGAGGTTGCAGTGAGCCAAAATCACATCACTACAGCCTGTGTTACAGAGCAAGACTCCATCTCGAAAACAAAAAGATTAAATCATCACCTCATAAAGATATCTGCACTCCCATGTTTGTGGCAGTGTTATTCTCAATAGCCAAGATGTGGAAACAACCTAAATGCCCATCAATGGACAAATAAAATATGGCATATGCATGCCATGGAATAGTATTCATCCTTGGAAAAGAGGGAGTTCTTGCCATTTGCCACAACATAGATGGACCTGGAGAACATGCTAAGTGAAATAAGCCAGACACAAGGAGAAATACTGCATGATCTCACATGTGGAATATTTAATTTTTTTAAAAAAAGGAGCTCAAGTACACAAACAGTGCTTACCATAGATTGGAGAAGAGGAAATGGGGAGATGTAGGCCAAGGATACAAAATAACAGATAAGACGAACAAGCCTAGAGATAGGGCTAAAGTTAATACAATTGTATTAGGATTTTTGTTAAGTAGATTTTAGCTGCTCTTATCACATGAAAAACTGTGAGATGATAATGTTAATCTGCTTCACTATAGCAACCATTTTATTATCTATGTGTATCCCATAACATCATGTTGTAAATCTTAAATATACCTAATAAAATTGTCACCAAAATGCAGGAATTAGAGTTCACTTTACCTGTGAAGCCAAATAATGCTCAGAGGGCTGCTTAGAGATCACAGAGTCTGAACATGGGACTTAGAGAAATCCAATATTGAAAATCACCAGGCTTAGAGAGTCTGAAGCGAGTCCTGTGTTAGGAATATTCTTGCCTCGGATCTCAGACACTGTCCTAAGTCCGTCGACCAGGTCCTCATGATTGATCCTGCACTGCCATCCATTGCTTGTGCACTTACTTTTTTTCTGGCTTCTAGAATGGTCCATCTTTGCCACCTAAATCCCTCCCCTGACCCCAGGCCTAGGAGTCAGTTGTCTCTTTATGGTGGTTTTATGTCTCTCTCCTCAAAACCGTTGTCTTGACATTAAAGATTAGTTCTCAAAAGAGCAGTTTTCTTTATTGCTAGTTCCTTGCAGGATGTCTCACAGTATTACCCTGGGTACCAACAATAACAGTGTAGGTTGAACTGTTGGTGTCTAATAATGTATAAGTTTCAAAATGGCAAGTTGGAGGTTTTGAACAGCCTCGACGGACTATAGAGTCTTCCAGACACAAAAGGATGTGGAAATGATGGTGGATGGTACAGCAGCTGCAGAAAACTGCACCCTAATTCTGGGGCTCTTTGTAGATACTCAGTAACCCTCTTGTTTAGTAAATAGCTGCTCCTAGACATAGGGAGCAAGAAGGAGGGAGAGTGGAAAGGAAAGAAGGTGGGCCGGTAATGATTTGGGAAGGAGATTGATAGGGAATTGTAGTGGAAATACAGGCCTTTGCAGAAATAAGCCTAACGTTGTTCAGGGATGGCTTTTTAGAGGAGGTGAGTGTAAAGCAAGTTTTAAAGAAAGAAAGGTGGGGGGATTATATGTGGTACCTCTGTGCAGAATGACCATGAACCAGAAAACAGGAGAAGCATGATGGTTCACATTTATTAGTGCTCACTATGCCAGGCACTCGACTGAGTCTTTTACATACTATAAAATACTGTTCCTGAGGCTGGGCATGGTACCTCTTGCCTGTAATCCCAGCACTTTGGGAAGTCGAGGCGGGTGAATCATCTGACGTCAGGAGTTTGAGACCAGCCTGGCCAACCCATCTACTAAAAACACAGGCGTTAGCCAAGCGTGGTGGTCGTGCCTGTAATCCCAGCTATTCAGGCAGAACTGAGGCAGAACTGCTTGAACCTGGGAGACGGAGGTTGCAGTGAGCCAAGATCGTGCCACTGCATCCCAGCCTGGACGACAGAGCAAGACTCACTCTCAAAAAAAAAAGTTCTTGCCTGCTGGCATGTACTCCCTCTTCTAATAAAAGCACCCCAAACTGGGTGCGGTGGCTCACACCCAGCACTTTGGGAGACCAAGGTGAGCAGATCACTTAAGGCCAAGAGTTCAAGATCAGCCTGGCCAACGCAGTGAAACCCTGTCTTTACTAAAAATACAAAAATTAGCCAGGTGTGGTAGAGTACGCCTGTAGTCCCAGCTAATTGGGAGGCTGAGGCAGCAGAATCACTTGAACCCGGGAAACAAAGGGTGCAGTGAGCCAAGATCACACCACTGCATTCCAGCCTAGGCGACAGAACAAGACTGTCTCACAAAAAATGCACCCCAATTTCCCTACTACCACCTCTTTCCTGCTGACAATCTACGTGGTTTAAGAAGAATGGGCTCAACCCCAGTATAAGCATGTGACCCAGGCCTAGCAAAGCCAAACTTGGCATTTCCCTGGCCAGTGGTATTGATTGGAGGATGGGGTAGTGTCTCACAACCAGTGAGGCATCATTTCCCAGACTTTCATTAGATACTTCCTGGTAGAGCAGCTGAAAAGATAGAAATCTGGAGTTTGGGGACAGCCATCTTATAACCTCGTGGACAAAACCTGCCAGAGAATAGTACCAACACGGAATAAACTTGAGAGTTGGAGAGAGTAAGCTATGGCCAATGCCTGATTTGACTCCCTGGTTAATGCTATGCCTGGAACTGGGCTAACCGTGGACTTTTTAGTTATATGAGCCAATAAATTCTGTCTCTTCTCAAACCAATTTCATTAGGTTTCCTTTAGTTGCTAAAGAAAAAATCCTGATTAATGTACACACACACACACACACTCTCTCTCTCTCTCACTCTCTCTCTCATAATAGCGTAGAAAACCCTTATTTAGTGCTTACTCTGGCCAAGCTCCGTGTCCGTTTTCTCACTATATCCTTACAATAGCTTTATGACATGGTTATGGAAACAGAGTAGTTAATAAATGTCAGTCCTGCAATTTCAAAATCAGGGCTGTCTGGCTTCAGGTCCGGAACTTTTAACTCCTATCTCTATTTAAAGTAAGGAAATGAGGACTAGGGTGATGATAAGGAAACAACACATCTGAGCAAGATAAATGATTGAACTGTTCCCAGTTTACCAAGCAGGAATCACTGTGACAGCCAAAGTACTGTCATTTATTCTACAAATAAATGATCACATTTTTACCACTAGTTCACTACCCCAGAGATGCTGCTTCTGTTCTCTTCATTTCCTGACTGCTCAAGACGATGCCAGAATGAGATGTCAATTCAGCTGCTGTCACTAGTCCCAAATGGAAATGCGTCTCTCTCACATCAGCCATCCAAGTGACAGCCCAATGCTAATCTAATGCCAAGTCCAGACTATGTCTGGCTTGTGACTCCACCATCCCTCGGAGGCAGCCTCATCCATGTGGCCAAAGAAGGCTCCCAACCAACTTCGCTCTCCAGCCAGCTGGAAGGGGAAAGAGAGGAAGCGGAAGACACACCCCTCCTAAGGTCACAGATTGGAAGTTGGACCATTACTTCTGTCCAGAATTTAGGGGCCAGAACTTGGTCACATGTCCCCACCCATCTAAAGAAGCAGGGAAATGTGTATCAGATGGCCACATGCCCAGCTAAAAATTCTTCCAGAAATGGGAGATGAATGTCAGTGTCTGCACACAGTCTTGGAAGCAATGGTGTGCTTGTGTCTCTAAGGTATAGATAAAACAGGAGTGCAGAGGTGACATCAGTTTTTTAAAAAAAGAAACTACCCAAATAGGAGTATCTGTCCTACCTCCTACCGAGACACATTCCTGAGAGTTTAGAAGCAGCGTTCTAATCCAAAGCCTTATGTCCTTTCTCCACCTTCTCTTGTCTCATATTCTTTGCCTCGCCCCTTTCCCTGCAGTTCTACAAGAGTAATAATAAACTGGGTGACATGTGTCATTCAATAAAATACTGTAGATGCCAGAGACACAACGGTGAGTCAAAAGGACATTACCTTTTGAAGCCGAGAGTCCAGTGGGGACACATGTTCATCTAAGAACCACAAATGCAAGACTCCAAGGCCTGAGAAATAGAGGCCTATGAGCGAGGGACTAAAGAGAAACTGGTCTAGTCAGGGAGGTTAGCTGAGGGGAGAGCGGATGTAACAGGGAGAAGAGGCAGGGAATGGGCCGGGCATAGGAAAAGCACAGGAAAGGCCCTTTGGCCACCTCTCTCCTGCCCCTGCCCCTCCCTCTCTCCTCTCCCTCTCTAGGATCCCCTAAGGCATTTCTGCCAGATTGTTTATCCCTCAGTCCTTTTCTGTGTCCTCTCTACCCTGGGTAGGAATTCGAAGATTTGATTTTTGTAGTATTAGCTACTACACTGTATTTCAGGACCTTTCCGGAAAAGTATGGGCTCTAGGGTCTGAGCAGTTTTTCTGATAAATACTGTCCTCTAGCCCTTGAGTAAGAATCAAGTGTTTAAAGACACAGGCCAGTGAGACGTGGTATCTACCTGGAGAACCTGCCCCTCCAGGCTCTGGGACCTGAAAGTCAATCCAGGGAAAGGAAGAAAAGGCCTTAGCAGTGTCAAACCTGGAAGCTTCCGAAATGCAAAGAAGATGTTTAAAAAAAAAGAAAAGATGTCGGACTAGGTGGCTCACGCCTGTAATCCCTACACATTGAGAGGCCGAGGTAGGTGAATCACTTGAGGTCAGGAGTTTGAGACCAGCCTGGCCAACATGGTGAAACCCCGTCTCTACTAAAAATACAAAAATTAGCCAGGTGTGGTGGAGTGTGCCTGTAATCCCAACTACTCAGAGGCGGAGGCAGAAGAATTGTTTGAACCCAGGAGGTGGAGCTGAGATCGCACCACTGCACTCCAGCCTGGGCGACAAAATGAGACTGTCTCAAAAAAAAAAAGTAAACTCTCCGATTCCATGACCCGTTGTCCCTTATTTATCCTCAGGCATCCAAGTGTTGTCATTGTTTATCCACAGAAAATGAAGCTAATGAAGTGTATCCTCAGACCTGTTCCTTCAAGGGTTCGCTTTGTCATTTCAAACATACAGATTCAACCTAGGTCTCCACAGAATGCCAGATGATACCGCTAACAGACAAAAAGTGAACTGTAGGAGTAAATTGAAATCAGTGACATCAGAACAATGATGCTTCAGCGCTTTAATACCACAGAGAAGCTTCTAACACACTCGAGAGTGAAGTTTTAAAATCATGAGTATGACTTTTTATGTGTTTCAATGCGTATATACAAACTCAAAGACATTTGGGCTCTCTCATTTAACATCTTTCGTAGTGACCCAGAAGAAAAAGCAGTTAGTGAGGCAATATCGATCCAATCAGGTTTTATTGTTCTTACTAGTAACAGAATCAGAAGTGCACAGAAATACCTATTTTTTAAAAGAAATGTTTAGAAATAAAATTGGATATGAGACATCATGCGTTCAAGAGAAGTAGGTAAAATAATTTCACTTGTGCACACATTTCCAAACATCTCAAAGACTGCCGGGGATGCCTTGTAGATTAAAAGCAATACTCCCTCCTCCCTAAAAGAAGTGTTTGCAGGCTCCAAATCTGCTACATTTAGGAGATTTCAATACAGTTGCTTTTTCCTTCTTCTATACTTCTGTTCTCTGAAAAATGTCTCAAGTAGAAGATGACCCGTGATGTTGGCCCATGTCTGGGACCCCGTCAGCCTCGATGCAACTCTCCTGGTCCTCGTTTCTCTCTTTGCCCTCACCCTTATAAGAAACGCAGAAAGTGACTACGGATATTTTCTTCCCAAGCTCACACAGTGACTCCCAACCAGGGGTAGATAATGTGTCAAAATGCCTTAGGCTGGATCTTGATGGGGTGAGGATGTAGAAGGATCAAACCACAGGCTTCCCCCGCAAGCCACTGTTGCTGACAGGAGTGTGTCCGTCTCTCTGCTGGGCTAGGATAGAAAAATAGTTGCCAACCACTGATTAAAGCCTGTGAACACACATGAGTTTTGAGCTTCTCCTGGGCAGGAATGAAGTAACTTACACTTTGTTTTCTAAACTGCTCAGCACACGGGAGGTGCTCAGTAAACACTGGTTGAAAGAATGAACGCTGTGCCTGGTACAACACAGCCAAAGGGGACCTATGGGATGCACTTTTTTTAATGTGAGCCCCCAGAAAGCCAAGGGAGGAACAGGAACCTTTATGCAGGGTTTTAGGGGTACAGAACCCAACGAGGAACCCAGGCATCCACTCCTGTCTCAACTCAGAGGCGGGTCAGGCCGCATAAAGTGTCAAAGGGATCTGAAGCTAGAGCTGCTAGTCGTTGATGTTAACAAAGCGTGTCTGGGGAGGAAGCCTGGGTGTGGCAGAGGGCGTGGCCTGCAACCTTCCCTGGAGGGAATGATGTGTATGGATTGGCCAACAGCCGTCTGTAGGGGTGCAGGGCCCAATGGTGCACAAAGCACTGCTGAGCAGAACCTGTCGCCCTTTTGGATCCAACGCCGCTTTTTTTTTTGAGACAGTCTTGTCCTGTTGCCCAGGCTGGAGTGCAGTGGTGCAATCTCAGCTCACTGCAACCTCCGCCTCCTGGGTTCAAGTGATTCTCCTGCCTCAGCCTCCCAGGTAGCTGGGACTACAGACTCCCACCACCATGCCCAGCTAATTTTTGTATTTTTAGTAGAGACAGATTTTCACCACGTTGGCCAGGCTGGTCTCGACCTTCTGCCCCTCAGGTGATCCACCTGCCTCAGCCTCCCAAAGTGCTGGGATTACAGGCGTGAAGCACCACACCTGGCTCCAATATCCCATTTTAAAAACAAATATTTTAACTTCTACTTTTCCATCCTGAATTGAAATTCATCGATACAATTATCATCTATATAATTTAAAATATCAGTATAATACCCTAACTATAACAAAGGAGAAACAAAAAGAAAAGCATTTTACAATAAAATAATATGTATTTTTACATAAATAATCAAGAATGACTATGCTTGCAGATGAAAACAAGCCCACAAGCCCCCCCACCAATTGCCTCATGCGCCCTCAGGTTGATACAACCCCACTGGGAACCACTGCTCTAGCCCATGGGACCCCAAGCCCTCTGTGGCCACAGAGCTCCTCAGCCACAGCCACTCACCCTCTGGCTGCAGGAGAGGAGGCAGGAGGCAGGGTCCAGACTGGCCCGTTCTTGCTCCACAACTGACTCATGTGGCATCTGTAGGGATCAATGCAGGTGGAGGTGGAGCACTCCAGGCCTTCCAGGATTCCTCAGCTATGCACAGGCTCCCCTGCCCACAGCGGCCAGCTTCCCGCCCAACAACGTTGCTGCGGAGGAAGGCACCTCGGAAGGTCAGCAGGGGCATGAAGGTTCTAGTAGCCAGACTTCACTTCCTCAAAAATCCCAGGCCAAGGCCAGGCGCGGTGGCTCACGCATGTAATCCCAGCACTTTGGGAGGCCGAGGCAGGTGGATTGCTTGAGACCAGGGGTTCAAGACCAGCCTGGGCAACATGGTGAAACCTTGTCTCTATAAAAATGTAAAAATTAGCCGGGCATGGTGGTGCACGCCTGTAATCCCAGCTACTTGGGAGGCTGAGGCACAATAATTGCTTGAACCCAGGAGGTGGAAGTTGCATTGAGCAGAGATTGTACAACTGCACTCCAGCCTGGGCGACAGAGCGAGACCCGGTCAAAAAAAAAAAAAAAAAAAAAATCCCAAACCAGGAAGATTGACAAGGTCAAATTTCTTTAAATGTTTTGCCTTGTCACTTTTGGGGAGGGGGAGCCAGTGTGTTCTTCACCTGTCTGGTCTCTACTTTAACAATAATATCTACGAGCACAGATGGCTGTGCCTGGACCCCCAGCTTTGCCCACAGGAGCTCTCCAGTCCAGCTAAGAGCCCAGAGATGAGATGAGGCCGCCCGGTGAAAGCCAGTTCCCCCAAGCGTGTGGCAGCACAGTGCAGGGGACAGAGTGTGACCCTTGGAGCTTGACAGGCTCACATCCCAGCTGTGTGGTCCACTAGCTTTGTGACAGCAAGTCACTTAGGTTCTCTGTGCTTCCTCGTCAATGATAAAATGAGGAAGATAAAACCTACTTTGCTGAGTTATATTGAGTATTAAGCAGAATCGATGAAAAGCACCCAGCCCAGTGCAGGAAGCACAGCAGACACTCAATAAATGGTTTTTCCCGTCTCAAACATCTGGAGGGCAACCAAGGGCAGCAGGGAAAGCAGGCGGCAGGGAGCCTCAAAGGTCTAGCTTCAAGTCCAGATCCTAAACTGCAGGCTGTACATCTTATCAAATGGAAATGATGATACCAACTTGGGAGGACTGACACGTGCAGGTTCCAGGGAAGCCCTGCGCTGGCCAGTCTCATGACTCCTGCTAACCCTTGCCCAGTGCCATCATAGCCGTCTCTACCACCCTGTTCTTAACCCAGAAGCATCCTCCAGTCTCCCAGAGGAAAACCAGCCAGAGTGTTTACTGTATCATCGGCTGCCTCCTCCACCCCCCTTGGAAGCCACTGTATGTTTACTGAGGATAGGAGTACTGTGCCTTCCTCCTCGCAACTGATATCCTTTCTACCAAGGAAATGATGAGATAGTGTCATCTCAATCAAAAGCAGAAGTTAAGGTTGGGCACGAGGAAGACTATCCCTGCTGAGGCATCTTATCTGTATAAACCTAACTCTTCCCATGCGTCTGTTAAGACATGGACAATTACCTGCAAGGCTGTGACCCCACTGAGTCTGAAGGTGGGAGATTGAGGCTGGTGACCTTGCAAGCTCCTAGCAAGGCTGGGGACCAGTGGATCCTTCTAGGACAGACGTTCAGGGACAGCTGTGGAGACTCCACAGGGACCCACCAACTCCGGGGCCGCCCGAAACAGTGAGCTGAGCGGGTAGTACAGGAAGTTGAGGCAGGTGGCAGTGTAGAGGTCAGCGTAGCGCATCAGCCGGCTGGAAAAGAGTGTCTGGCGGAAACCGCACCGGAACAGGCTGCCCATGGTGCTGTAGCAGAGGTCCAGCTCCCGGGTGACCCTCTGGCCAGAGGGGCAACACACTGAATTGAAATCCCAGCCCACCTAGGCCTGCCCTTGCCTACTCCCTTTCTGGGCAACCCTGGCCTCTCTGGGCCTCTCACCGGGGGACATTGAGGCCTATTCCCCTCTGTAGGGAAGGAGCAGCATGTTGTAGACCCACAGGCTACACACGTGGCTTTTGGAGGTGGGGCAGCTCCCCACTTTGCCACAGGCCCCACTCCGGCTTTCCATCACAGTTACCTGCCTGGCCCTGGAGATGGACCACCCAGGACTAAACCCATAGCTTAATTTACCTTCTGAGTCCAACAGAGGACTTGGCAATGGCGACACCCCCAGCCCTGCCCCTACTCTCCTGGCAGGCCCCACCCCGCCACCAGGCCCTGTTTCCTTGTCTGCTTTTAGAGCCTAGAGAATGGTCCCAACATTTACTCCCAGGGTGACCCCTCTCTGAGCCTCAGTTTCCTCATCTGTAAAATAAAGGTGACAATCCCAGCTCCGTCTACCTCTTAAGGCTGTGGGGAAGATCAAACGACTGTGCTTTGTAAAAGGCTCTGCAAAGACCCTTTGTGATCGGCCCCAGCTGCGCTTGGGATGACCGAGTGACCTGATTCCATCCATCTGGCCGGCCCATGGGCACCTCCAGCTTTGTGGTGGCCGGTCAGTAATGCCACGAGGGAACACTGTCTTTTCTTCTCTTTCCCCAGGACCCTGGGCTCACTGGCCCTAAATCACATTTCCTATCAGAACTGGCTAGTGGGTCAATAAGGGCCCAGCCAGCACACAGGCATTTCCTAGGCAGGGTGATAGGTGAGGACTGCGGGACTGCCCTTTGGAATGTTGGCCAGCAGAGGGCGCTGGCTGACAAGGCAGGTGGAGCCCAGGTGAGGTTGAGGAGAATCAGAATCGGGTAACTGGGCCTTTGGCACCAAGGACAAAGCCAGCAGGCAAGCAATCGGGAAGCGAACCCGGCTCCACCCCCACTGGGCCTGTCCTTTCCTCCCTCACCACCAGCTCTCACCTGGATCTCTCTCTTGGTAAAGTTGATGACTTGCAGCTCACAACTGCTCCCATGCATGTGCCTGGTACAAAAATAGCCAGTTGACCCAGGGGAGACACAGAACCTCCGAGTGCCAGGACAGTCTTCTTAGACCCCAGCAGGGGTAGGGTGGCGGGACACCGTGCAGGCATCCATTGGGGGTGCCGGGCTGGGTGTGTGCACACGAGCGAGGGCAAGTCCCTGAGTGCTGGACGGGTTCGGAAGAAGGGCCTAGCGGTCACAGAGTGTGAGCAGTCCCAAGGGGGTGAGAGGGGTCCCCACATCCAGTTTGCTAAGGAAGCTTAGCCTGAAACGCATCTTGTTGTTCTGACAACCTTGGCCAGGACCTCGCTGCCAGGAAGGGATGTGAGCCACTGCCCCTCCATTCCTCTCCCCGCCCCATCCCACCCCCAGAAAGGCCAGGGTCTCACTGGTATAGGTCTGCCAGGTGCATGTCCAGCCTCTTCAGCTCCTCCAACCCCTCTGAAAAGCCTCCAGGGGTCAGCGGGGGTGAGTGACAGCCCGTGTCACGCCCTGGCCTTGCCTGCCTGTGTCTGCCGTGGCCCAGCCGAGGACTTGCACTCCCCCAACTGTGTACATAACACCCCTGGCCCCTTACGTCAGGTGAGACTCTGCCCAGACCGAAGCAGGGACAGCCTAGGCCCCGTAGGCCCCATGGGACAGGTGAGGGAGTCAGGTGACCTTCCTGAGGTCACACAGCAATGACTCAAACCTAAAGCCTCAGCTCTCAGGACAAACCCCAAATTGTGTGGGCTCACACGACTCCCTGCCCTGGAGGATGACTTCAAGTCATTCCTGGATGGAGGGTGTGTACCTTCCACTCACTGAACCTCCTCGGCGTGGGTGGGGAGGGTGGGGTCAGGTGCAGGAGGAAGGTGCCGCCTTCAGCTTTGCCCCTACTGGCTGTGTGACTTGGGACAGGCCGCTTAGCCTCCCTAGGTCTCCGTTTCCTTGTCTGTTTCCTCCCCCAGAAACAACAGAGCGGTCAGGATTCCTGGTCACAACTACTAACCTCCCACGGGAAAAAGGAGAAGGCACTGCTGGGGCCTCTGCACAGGTGGCCAGTACCCCTCTGACTGTTCCCGACACCAACAGCTCGCCCTTCTCCCGGGCCCAGATGTCCAGCTCCCAGGACAGCTCAGGAACCACCAGGCAGGTCCGCCAGCCCTGCCGCTTCTTGGACTTCAGAATGTCCCCAAAAATGTGGTCCCCAATATACAGGATGTCCTTCCCCCAAACCCCAAGCAGCTCGCACACCATGTCCGATGAGCCTGCCCCACCAAGGGAGGACAGACACCCGTTTGCCCTTCCTGCCTTGGGGCAGGTGACTTGGGTCAGGTGAGGGGCCTGGGTTCTTAGTTGAGGGAGGGAGGGTTCCCAAGGAGTGACGGGGCATGGTGGGAGCTGGTACCTCCAGAGTAGACAGCACAGTGCTGGTGCGGCCCTGTGTAGGTGCCCACGCGGAGCTTTCCTGAGTCCTGGAGGGGCAGAGGGATGCCCTGGAGCCAGAAGAACCACATCTTTGGTCTCTAGCTAGGGAAGGTCTCAGGGAGCTGGGAGTGGCAGAGGTAATCATGGGGGTGTGGGAGGAAGGAGGCAGCAGAGGGCGCTGAAGGAGGCCTCAGGTTCCCTGCCTCCAGGGACAGACAGGCCAGCAAAGCTGCCAGCCACCAAGGCAGGTCAAGTCTAAGGGGCAGGCAGGCTGCCCTCTCTAACCATGGTCCATGGATGCAGGTCGACTGACCTCTGCACCTGCCATTACCGTGTTGACCTGCCTCAGGACCACGCCCTCTGCAAAGAGGCGGGGCTTCTGCGTGTCCACCACTATCAGGTGGAAGTAGGACCTCCAGGGCCTGACCGAGGCTTCAGCCTGTTGGGGGTGCACACGGGCCGCACACGCACAGCCTGGTAAATCTGACCTTGCCACAGCCGGTCACCCACCACAGTCTGCCCTCTCCCCGCCAACCTCCCAGCTGGATGAGACCTCTCCAGCCCCTGGGAACCAGGTCTCGCTGCCCAGCGTCCCCAGCCAAGCTGGGCAGTAGAAAGTGCTCAAAAGGAATTGTAGAGGTAGGTGTCGAACATCATGTGCGCCCTCAGGCCAGCCTCCAGATCTCACAGCACAGAGACCCAGTGACAGGTGGCACCAGCATGGCTACCTAGGGCCCTGATGCCTGCCCAGTGACACCTGGTCATTCCCCGTGACTAGGCCCTGTCACTCCCAGCACCCCTCCCTTTGACCTGCCATGCCCTCATCTCACCCCCTTTCCGCCGCCCCTCCCCACAGAGCTGACTGCCTCCTATTCCCCGCAAAGGCTCCTCCCATGGCCTGGCTGAGGTCACCAGCCTCCTACCCACTGGGGAGCTTCCACTCATGAGAAATGACCACTCACACACTCAGGTCTTCCTCAAAGGGAGGCTGGACGTGGGAGAGACCCACTTCTTTCCCTGGCGCCCTGGCCCTTTGCACAGCCCACCCCAGCCATGCGCGCAACACTCCAACACTCACCTCACTGATGCTGAACAGGTAGGTCATGATGGCCTGGCAAGGACAAGGCAGGGTCAAGGCACCAAACTTGGGTCACCGCCTGCCTCTGCCCTCACCCACCATCCCCCTGGCACACTGGTGGCCACAGGAGCAAGATGGTGAGAAAGTTGCCCATTCCCCTGAGGCCTTGAAAGGCCAAGAAGTGGAGCCCAGGAGACCAGCCCAGTGGTGGGGGTAGGAGGGTCTTTGCCCCCCGCCCCGTTGCTTGCAATGTCTCCGTGTCTCCTGGGGCCAGGAAGGAGGTGGAGGGCCCACCCCTCCATACACACACTCAATCGGTGTAGTTGTAGCTGCTGTTGGTGGCCAGAAACACTTTCCCAACCTCCTTCATCTTCCCCAGCAGGATGGGGAGGCGTGGCTGGAGCAGAGAGAGAGGAACTTGCAGGAGTGGGACTCCCAGAGCCACCCTGGGATCCTCTCTTCAGGTCTCAGCCTTCTGGGAGCCCACCCCAGCCCAGGCAGGTAGGCACCAGGTCCCATAAAATGACCCCCAGCACCCGGGGAGCAGAACTCAGCCTAAACCTCAAAGAAAGCCAGGGAAGGGTTGCAGGGGGCAGCCCTGCTGCTTCAGGGGTGATGGCCATGGCCCTGGGTCTGTGGCCACTCACATCCTTCTCCACATATTTCTCCAAGTCCTCCAGGGTCTTCTCCTTGAGACAGCCCTGCAGGAGGGAGCAAAGGGCCGTGTGTGTGTGTGTGTGTGTGTGTGTTTGTGTGTGTGTGTTTGTGTGTGTGTGTGTGTTTGTGTGTGTGTGTGTGTTTGTGTGTGTGTGTGTTTGTGTACGCACCCACATGTCTGTGTCCAAGATGAGGAGAGTGGGTGGCTCTGGGAAGCCCAGACCAGGCCTCAGTCCACAGTAGGAAGAGGATGGAAAGTCTACGGGAACTGGAGGCCCGAAGGCTGCCCAGGAGAACCAAGAGCAGACAGGTCAGGGGTCCGGGGGTCCTGGACCACTCACTCACCGACTGGTGAACATTATTCATGGCGTCAGTCACATCCTGGAAGAGGCTTCGGAAGGACATGAAGAGGTTCCCATGCTGATAACCGGTGTCACAGCTGGGGCAGGCCAAGAGGGGACAAGGGAGGTCAATAAGGGGACCTGACGTGACCTCCAACCCTGAGTCCCACACTAGAGTGGCCCCACCAGCCACACGGAGGCCTTCACTGGGCTTATGTCCCAGCCATCCTGGGAGGGGCATCACCCAGGGCTAAGGGTCACCCCTTGGGGGCAGCACTGGTGACAGGGTTGGGGGCCACCTTGCAGTAAAGGCCTTCCCACTGAGCCTTCTGGAGCCCTTCCAGTCCCTCGGGGAACCCTTGGGGGGCCCCCACTTTGGGATTTGGTCCCTGAGCAGTGACTGTGTCCTACTGGTCGCCCCAGGGCTGGACAGGGCATGAGACGCACTTGGTGTAACGGGAGCAGCTGGAGAAGAAGTCCACCAGGCAGGCATAGAGGTAGGTTTCTGGGGCAGACAGGCCGGTCAGTTGTCAGGCCAGGGAGCCAGGCAGTTCCCCACCAGGCCAGACCTGGAACCCTCAGCTCCAGACCTCGGGACCACCTCCTGTGCCCCCAACCCTCCACCCACCAGGCAGGTTGAAGAGCGTGTTGAGGATGTGGAAGCGCTGCAGGTCATCCCTCTGAATGAACTTGTTGGGGTAGAAGCTTCAGATCTCTGCCCTGAGAAGGAGGTAGGCTGGGGGCAGCCAGTGCCCCCTCCCCAGTGCCTCCTGGAGGCCTGTCCAGGCTCTGGCCATCCCTTCCAACCCCCACTCATCCCTTCTGTGCTGAGCCTCCCCTGTGGGCCTGTGTCCTTCCTCCCTCCCTCCCTCTGTCCTCCCCCACGGTGGGCAGTCCTCCCCTCCTGGCCTGCCACCCTCCCGGCACCCTTTGTCCCTTACTCTGAGAGAAAGGTGAAGCCATGGGCACCCAGCAGCACATCCCCGTGGGCATTCACCTTCAGCAGGTTCCCATAGAGCGCACTGAACAACAGCCCCCTGGGGACGGGGGTCGAGAGGACTGTGGGTGGGAGTACCAAGGCCGGGTGGCCTCCCGCCTGTCCTGAGTCACACACCTTGTGGGGAATGTGGGGTCGTAGGTGTAGCGCAGGATCTCATGTGGGTATCCGATGCACACTAGGAGCTCCGGCAGCAGCTGGAAGGCCAGGGCCTCATAGGCTGGGGACTTGTAGGCTGCAGAGGCCCGGACAGAGTCAGGCCTGGCTGGGTTGGTGCCTGGCCGCCCAACCCCTGCTCCCTCCACTCCCAATACACTCTGTTCCAGCCCTCTCTACCAGGCAGAGTGTAGTCCATGTCGAAGCCAAGGCAACGGATCTTCCCCAGTGCCAGGCTGCGGTTGACAAAAATCCTAGGGAGAGATAGGAGGATGTTGGCATCAGCCCCCCAGCCCCTCAGAATCCAAGACTCAAGGACGGAGTGGGTGGAAACCCAGCAGAGGAGGGCACAGCGCTCCCTGCAGCTGCAGAAAGGATGGAGGAAGTGGGTCAGGCCAAGCCGGGGCCCTGCCTGGACCCATGTGTGTCCGAAGGCAAGTGCGAGTGTGCATGGAAGCGCGTGAGCATGTGTGCAAGCGTGCATCTGAGTGTGTGCAGGTAATCAGCAGTTTGCTGTCCCGCCGTGCAGGCGTGTTACAGGCATCCGACCCTGTAAGAAAGTATGTGCAGTTGTTGCTGTGAGGGTTGTCACCTTCTGAAATGGGACTCCACTGTCCACATTCAGAGATGATGTGTTTGTCACAATTGGCTAGCACATGTCACTGTGTCCGTGGTGAAGCGGAGAGATCTTTGCGGAGGGAAGGCAGTGAAGGGGACCTCCCGCCGGAGTGTGTGTCGTCAGTTCCCGGATGGGCTGCTGCAGCTATGGAAGCGTGTCTCTTGTGAGTGCAAGTGTTCGTCTGCATTTTGGGAGTCCCCATCGCTATGTATTTAAAGGAGTCCCTGTGTGCTGCTGTGGTGTGTGGGGTGTTTATGGGCTGAGACCCCTGGGCCCCACCCCAGGTGCCCATCTCACCACTGGTGCCAGTTCTGCTTCAGGGCTTGAGGGGAGTCCAGTCCCTCAGGCTCTCCCCGGTCCACACTGGCCATTGTCACCCAGAGTCAGGAGGAGACAAGGGTCCCTTCCTCAGCCTCCTGCACACTATCAGTGGGGCCCAGCCACTCTCCCTCAGAAGTTTCAGGCACCACTGACGCAGGTGGCCCCACCCTGTGCTCCCATCTCCCCCCAGCCCCTTTGAGGGAGGAGTCAGTCAGGACAGGCTCTGGTATCTCATCCTTTTCTCTAGAGCAAAAACAGCAAGGATCTGGGAAAAGCAATTCATGTCCACTGCGCCCTCCCCATTCCTAGGGCTTATGTATCCATGGGACTCAACCGCCTAGAGAGTAGCAGAGAACCCAGAATGAGGCAAACGTCGGGATACAAAGGCAGGAGGCTCTGTACCATACTCATGATAAAAGAAAGAACTCAGTACTCTCGCTTTATGCACAATTCTAATACATTTGGTTATCAAATTTCCCAGCTCAAGGCCATTTAGGCAAGACATTGCTAGAAGCATGCCAAAGGCTATAAGAATTGGAAAAATAACTGGGATCTCAGAATGGGGGGTGGGGGGAAGTACAAAAGGAAGTGTCAAAAAGCAGAGCCACTGGGGCCATTTAGTGTAGAGTTCTAAATACTCCCTGAGGGCCTGTGCCACTGGCTCCACAAGGAAGCACATGACTTCCGTTTGGAGCTGGTGACCTGGATCATCCAGAAAGACTTAACTGAAGTGACAGGCCCTCTTTTAAAAAGAAAGACAAGCCAGGGCACGGTAGCTCACGCCTGTAATCCCAGCACTTTGGGAGGCCAAGGCAGGTGGATACATGATTAGGAGATCAAGACCAGCTTGGCCAAGATGGTGAAAACCCGTCTCTACTAAAAATATGAAAAAAAAAAAAAATTTAGCCAGGCACGTTGGCAGACGCCTGTAATCCCAGTCTCTCAGGAGGCTGAGGCAGGAGAATTGCTTGAACCCGGGGGTCGGAGGTTGCAGTGAGCCAAGATTGCTGCACTCCAGCCTGGGCAACAGAGTGAGATTCCATCAAAAAAAAAAAAGAGGAGGGGGGAGAAAGGAAAGGAGAGGAGAGGAGAGGAGAGGAGAGGAGAGGAGAGGAGAGGCAAGGCAAGGCAAGGCAAGGCAAGGCAGAAGAGAGAGAGAAAGAAAAGAAAAGAGGAAAGGAAGGAAGGAAGGAAGGAAGGAAGGAAGGAAGGAAGGAAGGAAGGAAGGAAGGAAGGAAGGAAGGAAAGGTCTGGGCACAGTGGCTCACACCTGTAATCCCAGCACTTTGGGAGGCCAAGGCAGGCGGATTACTAGGTCAGGAGTTTGAGACCAGCCTGGCCAGCACAGTGAAACCCCATCTCTACTAAAAGTACAAAGATTAGCCAGCCACGGTGGCACATGCCTGTAATCCCAGCTACTCAGGAGGCTGAGGTGGGAGAATCGCTTGAACCCAGGAAGCAGAGCTTGCAGTGATCCAAGACCATGCCACTGCACTCCAGCCTGGGCGACAAAGCAAGACTCCGTCTCAAAAAACAAAAGACAAGTTTACAGTCAGTTTCAGTACTTTCTCTCCAAAATGACTAAACTAAATGAAGGTGGCACTCTTAAAAAAATAAAAGTTATCTGGAACAACAATAGAAAAACATATCTATGGAATAGCTCCTTCCTTGACAAAGCCAGATGAGCAAGCACAGCTGTGCACTGCAGAGCGCTCTTTTGCCCAGCAACAGACTTCATATGCCACTTAGTCCCATAAGATGACAAGGAACTGAACAACTCCTATGGCCTAGTGACCTCATCGCCATCATAATGCAAAGTATCACTCACATGTTTGTGGTGATGCTGGCTAGGAGAAATAGGCTGTACCCTGCCGCCGAGGTGTGTAGTAGGCTGTACCACCTAGGTTTGTGTAAGTGCACTCTATGACATCGCACAATGGTGAAATCGACTAACGACACGTTTTTCAGAACATATCCCTGTGGTCAAGCCCCCCATGACTGCAATAGGATGGTGAGGCAAGGATATGGAGGCTGTAGGATATGTGTTTCCTCATCGGATGGAGGGATGGAGGATGGATGGAGAGATGGGTGAATCACGAATCAGTGAATGGACAGACAGACAGTTGGGTGGGTAGATTCATGGATAGACGGACCGATGGTTAGCAGGCTATATACAGCAGCTTTCACGGAAGGTGTCAGACGAGAACTGAGCTTCAGAAATCAGGAGGCTGTCTGGAGTCCCTTCCACCCATTACTCCATGCGCTCTGCTCATCTCATGGGAGCCCTTTAAGCCCCTTTTCCACATTGCCTGGTTTCTGTCTAGGTCAGAAAAGAGAAGGAGGCGTAATATCTGGTTAGGAGAAGTCTCTAGGAGTTGCTCAGCCCTTCCACTGGGAGGCATCATGGCAGCTGTACAAAACCTGCCTTTCCTATAGCTGAACTTAGGCTCTATCTTGAAGTCTCTGCACCTGAGGGCGGCGAAGCCATCCAGCAACGTTCAGGTATGATTCATCACTTCAGTGGCTTCTCGGTCCCTTCTCCAGGTACCTCTTCTGGGGCTGACTCAACAACGTGGGACTTACCCCCAGCCACGCTGGTAATTGGGAAGGGCTTCACTTCCTGGAGGGTCCTAGGTCCACACATTGCTGTCTGTTGAGGTAGCCGCATCCCTGTTGAGTCTTTGGCTGGCATGGTCTCTGCTACCATCTTTGGTGTGGTCTCTGCTACCATCTTAGGATATGGCTGCTTGTCCAGACCACAGAGTCCTTAGGCTAACCACATGTACAGTCAGGGAGGACTGAAGGCTGCCACAGTCCCCACTTGATCCTGATCCCTGAGCCAATGCTAAGGCACCCCTGTGAGGCTTGATGCACTGGGAACCTCTTCAAGAAAAGACTTGCCACCATAACAATAAGCGAATGGCTGCCCTGTTTTTACTGTGCGCCAAGCCTCCTAACAGCCCCACGTGACAGGCTAACTGTTCACTGGATTCATGAAGGATCAAACTGAGGCACAGAAGGGTTAAGCAACTCGCCTACACTTACCAGGCTGATAAATGGCAGCATGGGACTGAGCCCAGGCAGCCGGGTGCCAGCATCTGTATTCTTAGTCAGTAGGCAAAACCACTTCTGCCCATGGCCCCTCACAAAAGTCCCTTGACTTTTCAATGTCGTTAAAGACAAAGAAAGGCGGAGGAAATGTTCCAGATTACAGAAGGCTAAAGAGCCACGGTGAATGAACGCAATATTCAAGCCTACGCAGAATCCTGTACTGCAGGCACATATAGTGCCAAGGACATGATGGGGTCAACAAATAAGATTGCAGTGTGGGTGGTGGGTTCGATGAAAGTCCTGTCTCAATGTAAACCTGTGAAGTTGATGACTATACCGTGGTAATGTAAGAAAATATCCCTATTCCTGGGAAATATTCATTAAAGAATTTAGGATAAAGCTCATGATGAGTGTAACTTACCTTCAAGTGGTTCAGGAAAAATAATTGTCTGTATACACATACAGACAGACGAACACATACATGCATACATACACACAGGTACATACACACACATACATACGTACATACATACCCATGTGTGTTCATATAGAACAGGGGACAACAAAGCAAACAGAGTAAAATGTTAGCAACAGGTACATCTTGGTAAAGGCTATAAGGATATTCTCTGTACTATTTTTTTACTTTTACAACTTTTCATAAACTTGAAATTACTTACAAATTTCAAAATGTCTTAAAAAGATGGTCTATGTTCCAAGACCCCTTCTTCAGGCTCCTTATTGCTGTCCTGGAGTTCTTCCCCTCTTCCTCCCACCTTCTTCTGAGCTCCCAGCTTGGCAGCTCTCCTTTATTACAGGGAGGTGGAAACAGGACCAACCCAGCCAGCATTCCTCTTGATTCTTCTACCTAGACTGTATCTATTTAAAAAGTGTTGCCCGGCACGGTGACTCACGTCTATAATCCCAGTGAGTCAGGAGGCCAAGGCAGGAGAATCAGTAGAGGCCAGAAGCTCAAGACCAGCCTGGACAACATAATAAGACCCATTTCTTTAAAAATTTCAAAAAATTAGCCATGGTGGCACACATCTGCAGTCCCAGCTATTCAGGAGGCTGAGTGGGGAGGATCTCTTGTGCCTAGGCGGTGGAGGCTGCAGTGAGCCATGATCGCACCACTGCACTCCAGTCAGGGCAACAGAGTGAGACCCACTCTCTTAAAAGAGAAAACAAAAAGGGTCAAGGCCCAGCAGGCTTTGTTCACCACTACTGCCTGCACTCAAAGAGGTCACCAGAACCGGGGTGCATGGCGGGGCAGGGACCAAGTGCAGGGCGTGGCTGTCTCCCCTCACCTTCTGTAAGAGGCAAAATTCCAGATCCCCCCAGCGCATCCACCACAGCTTTAAGCAGTGTGGAACCTGTGACCAGGGGATGAGGCAACGTCCATTCTCCCGAGCTTGGAGAAACCATCTTCAGGTGACCAGAAACCTCCTTCCAGACAGGGTCTTCCTCACACAGGTGCAGCTGGTACAGGGGGATTGAGGCAGAGACCCAACCAGGACGCCAGGGAGTCTTTTCAACAGAGGAGAGTCTCGGACGAGGTGTTAAAGAAAATGTAGGATTTTTATTAGTTTAGAAGAGAAAGGAATTTCACACAGCCAGCAAGGAGCCAAGAAAGAAAATGAACCACAGGGGACAGCAAAGGATGGGACTTGCTCTGAGGGCAATGGCCTTCGAGCCCTGCTAGAGTCCCCAGGTGTCTGCTCCCCTCGGATATGGCCACACTGCTAAAAGGCATGTTCCAGGGTGGCTGGGGAGGGACTTTGACCAGTCTCTGACCAAAGGGTGGTCTCCACTGGCTGGATGGGTCTGAGAATGAGTCAGAGACGTGGGGCACCATGGCCCAGATTCAATTCTGCCTCACCCAGGGCAAATGCTGGCTCCTTTTTCTGTTCGGGGTCATGGAGGGAGAGATTTGGGGTGAGAGATTAGGAAATTTCCAAAAACCTGTCTCTCCTTCCATCAAAACAATGGACATTGCCAGGAGTTTGTGATGTGTGTGTAAGTCCATCTGTGAGTGGCGGATGTGTGTGAGTGTGGGTGTGTGTGCACATGTGAGCGGGTGTGTATGCACATATGAGCAGGTGCACACATGTGCATGAGTGTGGGTGTCAGCGTGTGTGATTGCCTGCATGCGTGTGTGAGCGTGGGTGGGTGGGTAACAGGGTGCACCTATGTGACCTGGGGTGGGGGGTATGCTGGGACCAGGGCTGGGCAGAGGGCATGCCAGACACTGACCCTGAGCTCGGGCTGGAGGCCTTGGAGCCTGCAGTTTCAAGGATAGGTGGAAAGGAGGTGGGGACAGGAAGGTCACTACACAGCCCAGAGAAAGCAGGGGAGACCAGGAGCCAAGGGTTCCCCCAAGTGCCACCAGTGCAAGGTTCTTGGGACTCCTCTTTAATGTGAAACCAACCCCTGAGGGGGCGAAGCCTTATTTACTCCTAAATTGGAACACCAAGGGGATCCTCATCTCAGCAGCTGTGCAGTCCTGACAGGTTGTGTCTCCCCAGGGAAGCGTCTGAGAATGGTGGAGGTGGAGGGCGCTGGAGGCTCAGGAGACGGCTGAGTCCTCTCCTGGAGGAACGTGTCAGGGAGGGTGCTGGAGGCCTCCTAGTCCAGCAGCAGAGGGCAGGAAGCTGCAGGAGAGCCCCGAGGCAAGATCTGGGGTGGAAGGAAGGACATCCAAGGCCGCGGCAAACCTGCTCAGCTCCCACTGAGGTTCAGCCAGGGGAGGCTGAGAGCCAAAGCTAGAGCAGCTCTCCCATAGAGAGCCACGGGCCCCCTCCCTGCAACTTTCAGAGTCAGAAGGGGCGAGTATCTACACAGCAGGATGTGGGCAAGATGAGGAGGGGCCAGGGCAGAGTTCAGAGGCAAAGGGAAGCTGGTGGGAGTCTGAGATCCGTGTATTCCAGGCATCTCCTATTCATAAATCATCCTAGTCAGACAACATGCATTGATTACGCGTCTGCCTCCCACCACGCCCGCGCTGGAAGCTGGGTTCAAAACTATGAGTAAGATGTGTCACTTGTCCTTTAGGGAGTTCACAGTACAGGAGGAGGCAGACAACACGTGTTACTAGGAAACAGTGAAAAGATGAGCCCATGTCCTTGAGCACCCAGGGGGATAAGGGAGAGCTTTCCGGAGAAGGAAGCCTTAAAGGATAAGCCACCAGGCAAGGGCAGGTGGAGCCGCACTCATGCAACGGTGTCCACGAATGGTTCTGAGCGACAGCCCGGCCAGTGGGCAGGAATCGCAAGCAGACAGGCCTGGCTGGAGGGGGGCACACAAGACTGGGAATGCAGCAGAAGGGCATGAGGAGTAAGCTGGGGCACGCCGCAGTGGCTCTCTAGGGACTTTAGCTTGTAGGCGACAGATCATATGTGGAAAGTGGCAAGAGGAAGAGTGACCTGGTCCCCTGTGCAAGAAGGGTCAATCTCCCTGGCCCTGGATCGAGGGGCAGAGGCCAGCTTGGAGACAGTTGCAGTGAGCAGGGCAAGGAATGCTGAGCCTGAATCAGACCTCAGTGGGTGTGATGCTAAGAGGGGAGAGGTTGGAGAAAATTTGGGAGAAATCCCCTTTGGCTTGCAGAGTGATTTGTGATGAGGGAAAGGGAGAGGAAGCCTTAAGGATAGAGTCCATTTGTCTGTGGATGAAGTCTGGGCTGGGATGAGGTTTGTAAGTTTGGATGGGAAGGGATGCCAGAAACTGGGAAGCTGTCCAGGGCTCAAGTTCAAGCAATCATCCTCCAGAGGGGACTGTCACAATGTTGTAAGGAGAAGAATTCATCAAGCCAGAGTTCTGGGAGCAGTAGTGGGCACACGGAAGGGGTGTGGAGGGGAGGGAGATGCCACTCACGTGGGACTCGAGAGAAGTGACACTGAGAGGGCAAGTTCGGCTCCTACTAGAATGTTCCATTACAGACATGGGGCTTTGAGCATAAAATATGGAAGCAGGACATCAACAAGAGGTTTGTATTTCACCAAAAACCTGGCCTTTGTAGGCGAACGAGGTGAAGGCAGTTCCAGGAGAAGCTGATGCCCACTCTCTTTTGAAAAATGAACAGGAGCCCCCTAGGCAGACCACAAGAAGAATTCTTAGCAGAGCAACAGTGGGTGTGAAAGGGAGAAGGGCTGTGACCCACCCACAACCAGTGCCAGGGACCCATGGGAGATAGGAGAGGAGAGCAGGGCCAGATCGGGAAGGCTCCTGTGTTCCACTAAAGAGCTTGACCTTGATCCTGTAGGTGGTGGGGAGTCAGGCAGCATCTTGAGCGCGATGAGGATGTGCTCCACCAGATTTCTAAAGCTGCCTCTGGTGGCAGCTCAAGGAGGCACTGGAAGCTCAGATAAAGCAGAGCTGCTGAGAAGTCACTGCAGTCGCCCAGGAAGGCACTGTTGAGAGCCTGAATTAATGGGAAATAGAGAAGGGAGGACAGGCCAGGGACCCACTATGTTAATCAGGACTTGAGAACTGATGAACCGTAGGGGATCTCGGTGAGGGAAGAGGCTTAGATTCTAAGGAGCCAGAGGAGTATGGAGTCACCCACCCAGAGATGCCAGAAGGAAGGGGGCTTGTCAGGAGGGTGAACGGCCCCATTCATGAGCTGGGGAGGCCTGGGCTGAGGCACACTTGGGAGTTCCAGGTCTACAATTCCTAATCTGAACCCATTAGGGCCAGATATATTCGGATTCTATATTTTCTTTTCTCTCTTTCTTTCTTTCTTTTTTTTTTTTTTGAGACGGGGTTTTGCTCTTGTTGCCCAGGTTGGAGTGCAATGGCATGATCACAGCTCACTGCAACCTCCGCCTCCCTGGTTCAAGTGATTCTCCTGCCTCAACCTCCCAAGTAGCTGGGATTACAGGTGCCCGTCACCATGCTTGGCTAATTTTTTTGTATTTTTAGTAGAAACGGGGTTTCATCATGTTGGTTAGGCTGGTCTCGAACTCCTGACCTCAGGTCATCTGCCTGCCTTGGCCTTCCAAAGTGCTAGGATTACAGGCATGAACCACCACACTCAACCTCAATATTTTCCTTTTAAGATAAAAGGTTTTTTTAGAGACGGGAGTCTCACTATGTTGCTCAGGCTGGTCCGGAACTTCTGGACTCAAGCAATACACTGGACGCAGCCTCTAGCCGGGATTGCAGGCACAAGCCACCATGCCCAGCTAGATTTAATATTTTCTGGAGGTAAGAAGGTAAAACATAATTCCCTCTATATATGCATGATCACACCCTTGCTGGGATCTGGGGCAGCAGCCCAGAGTCAAACACGTTGACATTCCTGCAGCCAACATATGAATATTCATTCACACGAAGCGGCTACGTAGGGACAGCAAATAACCTCCTATCAGGGCCTATCAAGGTTTTCCACCAAATGAGTTTGGAAAATCCCCTAGGTTTTTGGACCTAGGGATCAAGGATGAGAGATGTTGCATCAGCATCTATGGCAGATCCAGCATGAGGACCCTTGGAGAGGGACAGAAAGAGAGGCGAGAACAGAGCCCGGGGAACAACCAGGTGAGATGGAGACAGGAGAGGACCCAGCAGAGGAGGCTGAGAGGAAGTAGGCAGAGGAGGGGAAGAGGAGGAGGAGAAAGGCTGACCTAAGCCCCTGGAGCAGGCACAGTGCTGCAGAAAGGCAGAAGGAGAGAAGGCCCAAATGCCCCCCTGCACTATTCATTAGGTCAGGGGAGGCCTCGTCCGGCCAGTGGGATGTCAGTGGTGAGATAGGGCAGGAGTCAGGAGGGAGAGGAGGGTGCAGACGTGGGAACAGCCTGTGAAAGACACCCCTTGCATGAGTCTTAGCCAAGAAAGAAATGAATCAGTGCAGTAGCCAGACTGATGAGCAAGAAACCCAGAAGGGTTGCAGGACTGGAGTCTCAATGAGCAGCAAATAGGCCACAGGAAGGAAAGTGGGTAAAAAGACAATGGCGTGGGACAGGCGCGGTGGCTTACACCTATAATCCCAGCACTTTGGGAGGCTGAGGCAGGCGGATCACTTGAGGTCAGGAGTTTGAGACCAGCCTGGCCAACATGGTGAAAACCTGACTACCAAAAATGGTGTGGTGGCACACGCCTGTAGTCCCAGCTATTCAGGAGGCTGAGGCAGAAGAATCGCTTGAACCCAGGCGGTGGAGGTTGCAGTGAGCCGAGATCTTGCCACTGCACTCCAGCCTGGGTGACAGAGTGAGACATCATCCCAAAACAAATAAGCAAAAAAAGACAATGGTGTGTGTCCACCAAAAGACGTATGCAAAATGCCATGTCATCTTTATCCATCATCGCTGCACACTGAAAACAAGCCAGATAGCCAACAGTTCCAGAATGGGTAACTAAATGGTGACGTGTTGACCCAGTGGAATCAGCAATGAAGAAAAACCAACCATGCTACTCACAATAACATGGGTGAATCTTACAGACCCAACAGCGGGCATAGGAATTCATGTACATCACTGTGTGTACCTCCTACCTGAATTTAAAACCGTTAAAGATGATAAAATGTAAGGTTTCGGATGTGGAGCAGCCTGGGAGATGACAAGGTCCAAGGTGTCACCAGCATTTCACACGGGTTATTGTAAAACAGCTATGGAAGACTATTTTTGAAAGTGGATGATGCTGTACTATTTTTTCACAGACTCTGTCCTGTGAGGCTGCCAGTCCCAGCTGTCCCTTCTCCACCTGTCCCCAATTCTGCTCCCTGACTCCTTTGCAGCTTCCCCCGTGGACACCGGACCCTGAACTCTCACTCACTCGCTCACTCACACTCAGACACGCACACCATACCGCACAGCACCCCACACAGCACACGGCACACCGTCACAAGGGCCAGACCTGGATGAAGATGTGAGTGGAACAGCACGTGGGGAAGCAGACCAGGAGGTCTATGCTGAAGGCTTTGCTATTGAGTCAAGCTGGTTGTGCCAAGCTCCTTCTCCCCTTGGGATGAGCTCCTTCCCAGGCGGCTCTTCCAGCTGTCACCCAGCTTGACTTCTGAGAATTCTCCCTCCCCCTCTGTCCACACACCAGTCACTCCAGAGCCTGAACGCATGTGACACAGGACATATGGGGAAGGCCATAGGAAACAATGAATGGTAGCTGCCTGCAACCGCAGCTATTGTTCATTAATGAATTAATGAATTCTCATCACCCCAAAATTGCTAAAATGTTCCCAAGTCTTCATTTTCTCTTCAATAAGATATGTCTGGATTTATTTATTTATTTATTTATTTATTTTATTTTACTTTAGTTTGAGTCAGAGTCTCACTCTGTCACCCAGACTGTAGAGCAGTGGCACGATCTCGGTTCACTGCCACCTCTGCCTCCTGGGTTCAAGTGATTCTCCTGCCTTAGCCTTCCGAGTAGCTGAGATTACAGGTGCATGCCACCACACCCAGCTAATTTTTGTATTTTTTAGTAGAGACATGGTTTCACCATGTTGGCCAGGCTGGTCTCAAACTCCTTACCTCAAGTGATCCACCTGCCTTGACCTCCCAAAGTGCTGAGATTATAGGCAGGAGCCACTGTGTCTGGCCGTCTGAATTGATTCTTAAAGAAAATAGGTTGGAGAGGCCTGAGAGTGGCAGCTCTGTCGGAGTGACAGTTCACAGAAGTCTCAAATTCACACTCAGCAGGCAGAAGCAGTGCCTATCTGTGAGAAGCTGAGAGTTCCCTTGGAGGGCAGCTCCTGGGGGGTTCCGGGCAGCACAAGCTAAGCCCTGTGCGGAGATTCTAGGTCGGCAGGAGAGTGACCTAATTAAACACACAGGCTTGTTCTTAGACAAGGAGCCCCAGTTAAGGCCCCTGGGTAACCACAGCACAGAGGCACAGCCCTAGAGGTGACGGGAATAATTCTCATTTTTAAGTAGCAGCCACCTTTTTTTTTTTTTAATTATAAAAGTAGTACACAGTCATCGTAGAATGTTTAGAAAATATAGAAAGTACAGGATAGGAAATGCTATCTACTAGAAATAACTGCCGTTTTTGCTTATTTCCTTCCTGGTCTTCTTTTCATACATATTTACATATTTGATGACTGAGGGGAAATGCTTATTCACAAGTGTAAGTGAAAAACTATATAAAATTATAAACTGCACAATCCCAAATTTGTTCTGCAAATTAGGATGGTCATACATCCACAGTTCTGTGTCCTGTTTATTTCATTCAATATTCAAGATCAACATCTCCTTTAAGTCATTAAATATTCAGCAACCTGATTTTTAATGGCTTCATAATGTCCATCATATAGAATAGTGTATACACTCTTCCCCTGTAATGAGGCATTTAGGTGGCTTCCAATTTTTCAAATAACTCTTTCATGAACCTCCCTGTATATCTTTAATTATTATCTTGAGCTACGTTTCTAGAAGTGAAAAACTCTTGTTTTGCATTGCCAGATGGCTTCCTGAAAATCCCCAGCCATTGGTACTTCCATGTAATATAGAAAGTATAGAAAAGTGACTAAGTATGGGACATCTTGGTTCCTGTAATAACAACCTGAGGTTCCTTTTTTTTTTTGAGACAGAGTTTTGCTCTCATTGCCCAGGCTGGAGTGCAATGGTGCGATCTCAGCTCACTGTAACTCCCACCTCCTAGGTTCAAGCAATTTTCCTGCCTCAGCCTCCCCAAGTAGCTGGGATTACAGGCATGCACCACCACGCCTGGCTAATTTTGTATTTTTAGTAGAGATGGGGCTTCACCATGTTGGTCAGGCTGGTCTCAAACTCCTAACCTCAGGTGATCCACTTGCCTTGGTCTCCAAAAGGACTGTGATTACAGCTCAGCTTCTTTATCAACTAACAGCCGATCCAGATCAAATAGAGGACACTGCAAGCAAGGAACCAGGTCTTCAGAGCTGTCTGGTGCTTTGTGACTGAGCACAGCCAACACTGTCTCCTAGCAGGAGTCACCTTTCACCAGGTTAGGCTGCTGTAACCAACAACTCCAGAATTTTAGGGGATGACAGCAAGCACGGTTTATTTCTCATGCACATTATTCATAAGATGTGGGTCAACTGTGGCTTTATTCCATGTCTTCTTAGTCTGAGACCCAAGCTGAAGGAACAGCCCAGCTCCTACCTCCATCCTCATGGTCACGGACGAAGACACAAAGCAGAAGTCCACAATGGCCCTTAAAGCTTTGACTTGGACTTGGCATGTACAACTCCCACCCTCTTCCAAGCCTAAAGCTGAAGAAGCAAGGGAATACACTCCTCCCACGGGAAGGTGCTCCAGGTCCCGTGGCCTGGGGCGATACAGACAGATCCTGTTACAGAGTGGACAGAAGAGAACTGGGAACAAGCATACAATCTGCCACAGCTATGAGCAGTCGGAAACGATGCTTAGTGTTCATCATCACTAAATCTGACATCAGGAATGTCTGGCATCCAGAATCCCACCTCATACTGGAAAATCCCATGTCCTAGAAGCCTTCTCCAATGGCTGATGAGAAGGATCACCTAGGTTTCACTTTTGTGCCAATAAAAGGAAAAAAATAAACTATATGTGTGTTGTGTCTGTTTATGAACATATATTTATAAGTAGCTCTACGTAAAATAGTGAAGGTATGCTGTTAAATTTTTAAAAGGCAAAAGTAAAATTATATGTATGACAGGCTACCATTTATTTATTTATTTATTTATTTATTGTTTATTTGTTTGTTTGTTTTTGTGAGACACAGTCTCACTCTGTCGCGCAGGCTGGAGTGCAGCGACGCGATCTCGGCTCACTACAACCTCTACCTCGTGGGTTCAAGCGATTCTCCTGCCTCAGCCTCCCGAGTAGCTGGGATTACAGGCACCTGCCACCATGCACAACTAATTTTTGTATTTTTAGTAGAGACGGGGTTTCACCACGTTGGCCAAGCTGGTCTCGAACTCCTGATCTCAAATGTTCCACCCACCTCAGCCTCCCAAAGTGCTGAGATCATAGGCGTGAGCAACTGCATCCAGCCTGCCGTTTACTTTTTAATGGGGGAGAATATATATACATTTCTGTTTATATACACATAAAACATTTCCCAAAAAATCAATAACAAGCTGGTGACAGTGGCTATTTTAGGAACACGAACTAAGGGACTGAGCATGGGGAGGGAGGCTTGGTTTTCACGGTATACTCTTCTTATATTTTTTCTTTTGTTTAGATTATCTTTTCCAAGAAATTTTTTCTCACTACAAATTTTAAAAATTGTCCTTTCTCATGCACATCACATATCTCTCTGTCTGTGCTTCCTTCATTGCTCCCACGTTGGGAAATGCCCTGAATTCCGAGTCCTACAACCTGAGAAAGCAGAGTTTTCAGAAAGCACTAGAAAACCCAAGAAGAACAAATACCAAGAGCTACAAAGCCAAAAAAGAGCTCATGCTCCAACAAGTCAACCCACTTCCTGAGGTTGTACAGACCACACTCCCTCACCACCGGCCTGATAAGCCCCTTTGAGTAAGGTGAGATCTACAGATAGGGCTGAACTCTTGCGTGAGTCAGGAGTCTCACTCCAGTGAAGGAGGTGGAGAGGGGGGAAGGAAAGGAAGAGACAGATAGAGAGCAGCAACACGTGCAAAGGAAGCCAGGACTGGATGAGATGTAGGCCAGTGGTGCCCCCAAGATCAGAGACTCTACAGATGGGGCTGCCTACTATACCATCGGCTGCCGAGACCTCTCCTCTGTCTTCTTCACATGCCCACTCCTGCTCCAAACCTCCCATATAGCACATGCTTGCTGCGAACAGCTCCCTTTGCAGAAAGCTCAAGGGCTGACATTTTTACCATCTGGAGGCGTGGAACCAGGACAGCACCCGCAGGAACAGGAGCTAAAGTCAGAGATAACATGAGGGCATGGTATCTAGGGAAATGGTGGCAATTCTGAGGAGTACTTTAGATTTCTAAAAGGCATTGAGTTTGGAGTGCAAGCCAGGCTTATGTCTAAATAAACCTAGAGCCCACAGTGGTCACTGGGTTTCATAAGCAATGGTCGTGAATATAGAATGTTCTTGCACGAGTGGTGGCGAGGTTGGTCTGCATCACCCGTCATCTGCTGTGAATTTTTTTCAGGGGAAGCTCACATCCTCTCGGAGGCCTTAGGCTCACCCTAGAAAGATACAAAATGCCCTGGAGAAATGCTGTCATCACAGCATATTTGCACATTTGCACATTTGCACAGGACGCTGTGCCAGTCACTGATCTGGAACACTTTGCTTGCTTACCTGCTTGAGCTATTGGTGCAAGAGCCACAGGCAGATGGATTAGCACGGGCTCCCGGGCTCCCTGAGTCAGTTCCACAGAACGTGGGATCAACAAGGGGTTACTCGAGTTACATGGAACAAACAGAAGACATGATTAAATACACTTAGGGAACATTGGAATAAACAGGAGTTGTGATTACAGGAATTCTCAGAACTGTGATGCTTTGATATGCATAATGAGCCCCCAAGAAGGAAATACAATAGAGAGTGTATCTTATATTCCTTTGACCGTGGAATCTTTCAGAACAGCATCCCAGCCAGGGTTCCAAGGAACACATTTTGGAAGCCTCAGGTAATTCCAAGGTCAGCAGGCAACAATCAGGCAAGCCTATCGAAAACAGAACTTTTGGGAATGAAAATGGGGATACTCTGACTTGGCTTCTACATCCCAACCAGTGCCAGTTTCCATCTGGAAATACTTTTTCCAGGCCTGCCACAACCCGAGACCCTCCACATCATGCAGATTTGGTTTAGCCAAAGGTACCATGGAAGTCTATACCCCAACCCATTAACTGTAGAGATTGCAGAGGAGTAGGATTAGGGTGACTGAGGGCAAACATTCACATCCTACTTTATACACTCCTATTTTATTTTATTTTTTTAAATAACGAGCATGTGTTTCTTTTTAAATTTCTATGTATGTAGTAGATGTGGCCTTTCAGGAAGACTCAAGAGATCACGGAGCTTATCTTTCTTGTTCATAGTGTATCCACAGTATTTACAGAGACTGGCACATAGTAGGTGCACTCAACATTTATTAAATGAGTCAAGTTGTGAAAGGGTAAAGACGGGATAAGAGGGAAGAAGGCAGAGACTGAAAAACATACTCAAAGACAAGGAAAAAATGAGTTCAAACTTTTAAAAATGAGACTGAGTGCGGTGGCTTAGGCCTATAATCCCAGCACTTTGGGACACTGAGGAGGGCGGATCACCTGTGGCCAGGAGTTCAAGACCAGCCTGGTCAATATGGCAAAACCCCATCTCTACTAAAAATACAATAACAACAACAATAAAAATTAGCCGGGCGTGGTGGTGCATGCCTGTAAGCCCAGCTACGCGGGAGGCTGAGGCAGGAGAATCACTTGATCCCAGGAGGTGGAGGCTGCAGTGAGCCAAGATCACGCCATTAAATGCCAGCCTGGGCAACATGAGTGAAACTTCATCTCAAAAAAAAAAAAAAAAAGAAAAAGAAAAAGAAGAAAAAACAACTTTTAAAAATGAACTTAAAGGCTGGGAGCGGTGGCTCATGCTTGTAATCCCAGTACTTTGGGAGGACGAGGCAGGTTGAGCACCTGAGGTCAGGAGTTCGAGGCCCACCTGGTCAACATGGTGAAACCACACATGGTAAAACTACAAAACTTAGCTGGGCATGGTGGCCCATGCCTGTAGTCCCAACTACTGGGGAGGCTGAGGCAGGAGAATCACTTGAACCCGGCAGACGGAGGCTGCAGTGAGCCGAGATTGTACCACTGCATTCCAGCCTGGGCAACAGAGCAAGATTCCATCTCAAAAAAATAAATAAATAAAATGAACTTAAAAATTCTCTATAGAGTTTCAAAGTGATTAATTAAAAAGTAATAATATTGAAAGACAATGCCAAGAGACTGATTAGAGAAGCCACGAACTAGTAGAAAACATTTGCAAAAGACATATCTGACAAAAGCATTATTATCCAGATTATACAAAGAACTCTTAGCCAGGCATCATAGCTCATTCCTGTAATCCCAGCACTTTGAGAGGCTGAGGTGGGTGGACTGCTTGAGACTAGGGGTTCAATACCAACCTGGCCAACATAGTGAGACCCCATCTCTACAAAACAAAATAAAAAGTTCCAGCTGTTCAGGAGGCTGAGGCAGAAGGATCTCTGAGCCCAGGAGGCTGAGTCTGCAGTGAGCCATGACTGCACCACTGCACTCTAGCCTGGGCAATGAAGTGAAACCCCGTCCCCTTAGGCCCCCCCCAAAAAAAACACCTAAAATGCAATAACTAGAAAAAAAACAACTCAATTTAAAAATAGGCAAAAGGCTGGATGCAGTGGTTCATACCTGTAATCCCAGCACTTAGGGAGGCCAAGGTGGGAGCATGACATTGAGGCCAGGAGTTCAAGACCAGGCCCAGCAACATAGCGAGACCCCCTTCTCTACAATTAATAATAATAACTACTATTATTATCCAGGAACAGTGGCATGTACCTATAATCCCAACGACTCAAGAGGCTGAGGCAGGAGTATCACTTGAGCCCAGGAGTTTAAGGTTGCAGTGAGCTACAATTGTGCCACGGCACTCTAGCCTAAGTGACACAGCAAGATCTTATCTCTAAAAAAGTAAAAAATAACGTTTTTTAAATGGGCGAAAAAGCTTAACAGACACCTCACCGAACAGGATACCCAGAGGGTAAGTAAGCATATGAGAAGATGTTCAACATTATATATCATTAGGAAATTGCAAATTAAAACAATAATGAGGTACCACCACATGCCTATTAGGATGTCCAGAATCCAAAACACTGACAACACCAAATAATGGTGAAAATATGGAGCAGCAGGAACTCTCATTCATTCTTGGTGGGGAATACAAAATGGTACAGCCACTTCGGGAGACAAATTGCCAGTTTCTTGCAAAGCTAAACATATTCTTACCATATGTTTCAGTAGTCATATTACTTGATATTTGCTCAAATGAATTTAAAATTTATGTCCACAGAAAAATCTGCACAGAGAGGCCAAGCATGGTGGCTCACACCTGCAATCCCAGCACTTTGGGAGGCCAAGGCTGGAGGATTGCTTGAGTCCAGGAGTTTGAGACCAGCCTGAGCAACATAGAGAAACCACATATCTAAAAAAAAATTTAAATTAACCAGGCATGGGGACATATACCTGTAGTCCCAGCTACTTGGGACACTGAGGTGAGAGGATCGCTTGAGCCCAGCAGGTCAAGGCTGCAGTGAGCAATGACTGGGCCTCCGCTCTCCAGCCTGGGCAATGGAGTGAGACCCTGTCTAAAAGAAAAAAACAAAAAACCTGCACACAGAAGTTTACAGCAGATTTAGTCCTAATTGCCAAAACCTAGAGGCAACTAGGATGTCCTACAACAGGTGAATGGATAAATAAACTGTGGTACATCGAGACAACGGAATATTACTGCTAAAAAGAAATTAGCTATCAAGTCATGGAAGACAGGGAAGAAACTTCGATGCATATTACTAAGTGAAACAAGCCAGCTGAAAAAGGTACATACAGTAGGATTCCACCTACACGACATTCTCAAAACGAAAAACTATGGAGACAGCAGAAAGGTCCGTGGTTACCAAGGGTTGGGGGAAGGGAGAAGATGAGCAGGCAGAGCACAGAGGATTTTGAGGACAGTGAAACTATTCTGCATGATCCTATAATGGTGGATATATGTAATTACACATTTGTCAATACCCATGGAACGTACAGCACCAAGAGCGAACTCCAGTGTAAACTGTGGACTCTGGGTGATGGGGGTGAGTCAGTGCAGGTGCATCGATTGTAACAGCTTGCTGGGGGATGTCCACGGTGTGGGAGGTTGTGCATGTGTCGGGAGAGGTGGATGGGAACTCTCTGCACCTTCTGCTCAGTTTTGCTGTGAAACCAAAACTGCTTTAAAAGATAAAGTTTATTAATTTAAAAACAGCAACGATTGGCGGGGCGCGGTGGCTCACATCTGCAATCCCAACATTTTGGGAGGCCGAGGTGGGAGGATCATGAAGTCAGGAGTTGGAGGCCAGCCTGGCCAACATGGTGAAACCCATCTCTACTAAAAAGACAAAAATTAGCTGGGCATGGTGGTGTGCACCTGTAATCCCAGCTACTCAGGAGGCTGGAGCAGGAGAATCACTTGAACTTGGGAGGTGGGGGTTGTGGTGAGCCGAGATCGCACCATTGCACTCCAGCCTGGGTGACAGAATAAGACTCCCTCTCAAAAAAGAAAAAGAAAAAAAAAAGCAATGATGTTTGAAAAATGTGAGTAAAATAATAGGATGAAATAAAATATGTTTGTAAGTATGGGTTACTATTTCCTAGCTCTGTTCACCGAAAGGGGCTAGAAACAGTGACACCCCAGTACCTATGAGCACACTTAGCATCGAAATACCATTCTCCAATAATAAGAATCGGGGATCCCTGGAGAAGTGGTTGATTCCAGGGTTAAGAAAGAGAAAATGCAAATAAACCTGGAGCATCTTGTGCTACCAGGAAGTAAGGAAGTACTAAAAGAAATAAAAAATAAAGGCTGGGTGCAGTGGCTCACGTCTGCAATCCCAGCACTTCAGGGGGCCGAGGCAGGCGGATCACCTGAGGTCAGGAGTTTGAGACCAGCCTGGCCAACATGGCAAAACCCTGTCTCTACTAAAAACACAAAAATTAGCTGGGCCCAGTGGCGAGCACCTATAATCCCAGCTACTCAGGAGGCTGAGGCAGGAGAATCACATGAACCCGGGAGGCGAAGGTTGCAGTGAGCCGAGATCACACCATTGCACTCCAGCCTGGGCGACAG